TGCTGCAATCTGTGTATGAGCTGATCCTGTTCCCATCATTCTCCACTCACCTTTTCTGCTCTAGCCACATGGAACTCCCAGTCCTGAACCACACCAAACACATATTGAGCTTTGGGCCTTTGTAACTGCTGATCTGCCTGGAATGCTCTTCTCCTAGATGTCCCTGAAGCTCACACCCTCACTTCTTTCAAGTGTCTGCTCATATGTAATCCAATTTTCATAGAAAAGTACCAGCTCACCATAACTTTATATTGCCACCCCTTGCTTCACTCTCCATCGTACTTTTCACTAATTGACACCTTTTATTGTTGTTATTGTTTGCCGCCAACCCACCCACACTAGAACATAAACTACCTGAGGGCCAGCATTTATTTTATTATTGCTGTTCTCTACAATATCTTCAGTTCCTAAAACTGTATTTGGCACATAGTAGGCATCCTGTAAACATGTCATCATCATTCTTGTGATTTGTCAACTCAACTGAAAAGTGATATGAGGCTTCTGTTTAAACACATTGGATTCAATATATAAATTCCTTTCTGTTCCTTCCTAAAATCCCACTAAATTGATAGTAAATTGATTTTTAAAATGACAAAGACAATGGAAGTGGAAGCAGCAATAAGACCCACCCTGATCACCTCATTTAAAATTACGGCCTCCCCTTCCCTGTCTTCTTGCCCTGCCTTTTTTCCCCATAGAACCTATTATCTTTAACACATATCATTTACTCATAAATTATGTTAATTTGTCATCCCTAAGATATCAAGAAGGCAGGAATCTTTATTTTATTCTCTGATGCAATATTTTAAGTGCTAGAATAGTGCCTAGCACTTAGTAGTGCTCAAAAAAATCTGTGGAATGAGTGAATGGAGATAACAACAAGACTCTGGAAGCTGACAGCAGATGGACTAGTGGGGGCTAAACAGGAGTCTGAAACACATGCTATCAGGAGAATGGAGTTGGAGTTGTTCACTCAGCAGAACTGCAAGGAGGCTCAGGAATGGGCAGCAGTTGTCTCTGACAGCGAGAATGCACGAGTGGAAAATGGAACCCCAGTGGGCAAACTACACAAGGCTTTGACTCCCTGAAGAGATGTAAAAAAGGGATTCTGGACTTAAAGACACAGCACAGCTGAGTATGAAAGGACTGTAGTTAATCCAGAAGATAAATGTCTACCTACTGAAGAGTGAGACCTCCAGTCCCCTTTCTCCACTCAACTTTGAGAACACAAACAGGCCCATTAAGCAACTCCCTCTCCCAGTTTGCTCCCACTGAACTAATCTCTAGTTAAATTGCTCTGTCCAAGAGAAAACTCAGTAACAGACTTCTCAACAGAAACACCAGAAACTAAAAAATTATGGCCTTCACGATTCTGAGGAAAAGTTATTTCCAGCCTAGAATTGTTGGCTAAGTAATCAATCAAGTAAAGGAGAAAATAAAGATTTTCTTCAGACATGGAAGGAGGCAGTCTCCCCATCCATCCTTTTTCAGGAATCTTGGTGGGGCATGCTCCATCAAAATGAGGTGCTAATGAAGAAAAAGGAAAGCATGGGTTTCTGGAAACAGAAGATTTACACAGAAAAGAGGCATAGAGCATCCTCAGAATGACACCAAAAGGAAATTTGAGGACAATCAACTTGCAGGAGTTCTGATTAGAGCAAGAAGAAAGACTGGACCCCAAACAAAAAGGACTGCCAGACTACCTGAGAGATGTGGTTGAATGTAGAATGAGGAAACTTATACTTCTGTTGTAAAGTTTGGGCATAAAATGAGATTGAGCAAGAACTAAGCAAATGAAACAAAGACATAATCATTAACTGTAGGGAAACCAAGGCTGAATGTGGCAGGAAGGAAGATAGCGCTCTATATGGCTAACCTACTAGTCATAGTCACAACACATAACTATGTAATATTGACCTAACCAGAAATCATGATAGCTCCGTTAGGTTAGGGTGGAATGCAACAAGTGTAAAGAAAGGGCAGCATGGATAAGAGAGCTACATCCTCTTCATTAGTAGACAGATTTAGAACTTATCATAAATAAATACATGATAGATGCAGTAACTAAAATAATTGAAAATTGGCTACTTTTGGGAAGCACAAATGAAGAGTGAGAAGGGAAGGGACAGGGGATTTTTTTTTTAAATATAAGCCTTCTAATATTTTACTTTTTAAATCATGTATATTTATAATTTATACAACATAAAAATTCAATTAAAAAACAACCAAAGCAAAAAGAGGGCAACTGTACACTCAAGAAAAAAAATGATAATGCAACTCTACTGATTTTTATTTTTAAAAAATGTGATTTTAATTCATGTGGTTTTTATTCTTCACATAGTAACTACATGTTTTGTTTAACACAGAGTTTGAAACTGTCTTTTAAAATAGATGACCAAAAACTAAATATTTATGGAACGTATGGTTTCTCTCAGTCATTTCTTGAATACTTGTCAGTACTTCATTGACATTTCCATAGCATAAAGCAGATATCTAGCTGAAACACTGCTGGAAAAAAATCATTTTGCCAGCAAATTAAATAAGCTATAGAAGCTAACCTCTTCTTAACATGAATCTAAAGAGAAGAGAAGAAAGCCAACGGGCTTTGCCAGCAGACAGGAAGGCAGTAGAGAAAGGATCTATCTAGTCTAGCCCTGTGCCTGAGCCTGACTTTCCCCATCTGATTTAGGGGGCTCAATCGGGTCATTCAATCTCCTTTGTTAGCACTAAACTTCCAGTTAGTCCTTCACACATCTCTCTAATTCCTTATTTCCTTAATTAATCTATAACAAAAATGACCATATGTCACAGTTTACTGAGTACAGTCCTGGTTTCTATCTTCTGTCCTGGAATAATGCCTAATTGCTCCTCCTTTAACTCTCACAACTGTCCCAGTTTGGAAGATAAATTCTACAGCCTTCCTATCCATGTAGTATTTCCTTAGAAATATAAAACATGATTAAAATAGATATAGATAAAATATATCTATTTAACATATAAATTCACTTTTAATCTTACAAATATGACCTCTTGTAGCTTGCTTTCTCTTAACATTTGGAGAAATTTCAGATTCCTTTGTGAGTGGTTTGCGAACTAACAAGAATTTTTTTAAAAACCAAGGAAGTCATAATGTACATTTTTCTTTTTGAAAATGTTATTCAGTATGCAAAATATTCTGTTAAAACATATTTTCTCATAACCTTGGGACATGAAGGACTTAAAAGCTATGACTAAAATATTTGTGGAAGAATTAATTCAATATTCTAGGTGAGACAATGAATTTTAATTGTTAAAACAGTCCCAGAACAAGGGCTTCCACCTGACTTTAGAATTAAAACCATGATCTTCAAAGAATGTTTTCTCAGATTCCAGGTCTCATCCACCATCATGGCTGTTTATGAGCTAATCAGTTACAAGGGAATGTGCCTCTTCACTTCACAGACAAGCTCTGTATGCTAATGATTCTCAAATTTTCTTTAAGTCTAGGACCAAAAGTTCTGCCAACACCCTGAACAGCAGCTCACATATTATCCAATGAACTTGAAACACTCCTTTCATACTGAGCAGCATTGAAACAGATTCCATAATTGATTACTCAGCTTCAAGGGAGATTTAACATTGCTTGGCTTTCTTGAAGTTACAAAGAGTTCCTTAGTTTTACTCAAATATGCACTATCCCTGATAGAAAACATGTCTCATTATGAAGAGCTGTGATTTGTTTCAGCATTTTTTTTTTCACTTAACCACTGAAGCACTGCCTGAAGAAATTTCTTTTTAAGTGAAATAAATACCAGGTCCACTAGAAGAAAAAGAAAAAGGAAAAAAAAAAAACAAAACAAAACACATGTGATTTTAATTCATTTTGTTTTAAAGATCCATGATTACCATATTTTAAAAAATTAGTTTAAAAATAAGCTAATGTTAGACTGGGTCATGCTATGGTGACTAATGTATTGTCTAGCCTTAATCTAATGAAAATAAAAGGAAAGCTGGATTTGGCACTCACTTGCATTTTTCATCTCTGTTAGAAAGTATGCCTGAGTTTTGGATCAGAGATCAGGTTTGCTTGGTAGCCTCAAAGAATAATTTTCCCTTTAAAAAAAATTTCCTTTTGATCATTTCAGACAATTCAGCCTTTTGAATGAGAAAGAGTAGAAGAGAGGAATGTTGAATGAGGTTAAGTAAACGGAGAATCTGTCACATAAAGCAAGTTTAAATCCCAGTAACAGCATCCATGCAGGACAAACGGAAGCATTATTCTTTTGAAAACATTATTCTTTTTAAACAGTGTGTAATGACATCCTCCCTAGAGACTTTCCATGAGAAAGGAAAAAAAATACTTCCTCGGAAGTCATTTTCTAGATTCCAAGTATAATAAGTGAAGCACAGTTAAAAATCAAATTTGTGTTTTCTTTATGTAAGAAGTTCAAAATTAGAACTGAAAAAAGGTGCTCATAAGTTTCTCTGATTCTTGTCTTTTGGTTACATACTGGTATTCCTATGAACCAAAAGGGCAAGTAAAAAGAAAGATTAAAATTATTACTTTAGACCTATAAATCAGTGAATATGTCCTTATTGTAAAATTTGAGATGAACATATTTCCTATTTTCAAAGAAGAAATATATGAATCAAATACGCTGAATGTATGGCAATTTATCCTTAAGTTCCTATTAAGAATATCATATTCTTATGCTCAAGTATAAACTGTGGATTATGTTTTTGATATTCTATGCTGCTGTTACCTCCTGAGGACTTGATTAAAAATAATGATACAAATTTTATGTTTTTAAAAGGTTGGTGTTACTTAAATATTAGAAATTGGCTATTGTTTTAAATGTTTGAAACATGTTCAAACAACAAAAATAAGCAGAGAAATTACTACTTTTGATTCAAAAACTAGTTTATATATTTAATGAATACATGTCCAAATAAAGATCTTTCTTCAAAGATTTTGGAAAATGTTAATACATTTTGAACATAGTGGAACAAAGAAGAAAGACACTAGAGAACAATCACAATTATAATCTGTTTATTTAGCAAAATAAACTTGAAGAAAGTTTTCTATTAAAAAACATAAAAATCATATTCAAATTTTAGATTCCCCATCTTCTTTGGTATTGAAATCAACATTCAGGATATAAAATATTTTATTTTGAAAAGTTTAGTCACTGGATCTACAACAGTTTTCCACATAAGGAAAATACAATATTACATTATCTATAATTGTCCTAATTATTGAACCAATGAATGTCCATAAGCAATATGTGTCCAGAACCAGCCTCATCAAGGAAATATTCATTAATAGATATAAGTTTTCTATTGGAAATATAGTTTAAGTTTTTAATGATCTTCTGCCATCACTTTTACTATGTTATCTGAATAGTCATCCAGATCCTATAGTAACAGATGCTGTTATGCACACAGCCTGAGAACTACTTCCCCAGGGAAGCTGACACCACCATACCAGGACTTAGCACAATTTATTTCTCAACAAGTCTATACTATTAAAAAATTTGTTTCTTTATTTCTCAAAATTGTGTTCTTTAGTCTTTTCCATACTATAGTATCTGGAAATAGGTAATTGCATTAAATTAATATTAATAAAATCCAATTCTACCTAAATTGTTTTGTTTCTAAGAAAAACTATTACTTAAACAAAACCAGACTTATTGTTTTTTCTAGGAGTAGTATTTTATGGATTGCTAAATTAGCAAAGCCAAACACTTCCAGAAACACCATGGGACAACCAAATTACTCTTATTCCTGTGATAAATTCTTTGCCCGCTCCAACTCTGATTTCTCCCATATCCCTGCTTTCTTGTGTGAATATACCTTCCCTTAATTTGTTAAAATGAATCTGAGTAACAAATCCAATTACTGGGGCATCGATTTTTTTTTTTTTTTTTTTGCATAGACTCTTGTGATCACAAAATGATCAAGCAATTTATAGCTTCAGTGCTAACACTGTGATTGGGAACAAGAAGAGTACAACCACAATAAAATACAGCTATCTATTAGGAGGACTGCATAAAGACATCTTTGGCCATGTAGGCTCTGGGCCCTCTGAAAATAAGTCAGCTGCATTGCCAACATGACAAAGAAAATAGCAATGTTCAGAATCAGGAACAGTCTGGTGTATGAAGCAGAGAGTGATGGGGCTCTGCTGTGAGTAGCTGTCACCACCCGTGCCTGTCCAAACCGGCCTTTCATTAATGCCCCGTTTTTATGCTTCTCATATGTTACATCTGCAAAATCTAAAAGGTCTTTCATTTCTTCATCTTCATCTATGGGTAGTTCTTTCTGTGCCAAAATCTGAGCTTTTTGTCGAATCTTTTTCTCATTGACCTCAATTTGTGCAAAAATATCAGGGACAGCATCCACAAATTTATAGCGTTTGCCTGCCCTTCGGTTTTTCTTTGACTTGCTTTGCTGCTGTTGCTGTGATATGGCAAAAATCCTGTCGATGGCCTCCTCAGTCTGTCTCTTATCGGAAAATCTCAGCAGGCGCTCAGCAGTCTTCCTAAAGCTAGCCGTGTTCCGGACTCGGGACAGTATCTGTTTCTCCAGCAGCTGGAACACTGGTTTAAAATGCTGCAGGTTCCGTTCCACAATAGCAGCGTAGTCTTTCACCTCAGGGACAATGGTGCTCTTGATGGCTGAATTCCGGTCAAACAGAATTTTCTGGCGATCTGCAATGACCTGTGCAAAGGCAGACTGTCCTGTGGCCTCCCCTGTCCACAGGTATGTTGCATAGGCATGTTCACTGGTGGCTACGAACACATCCAGTTGCTGGGAGTCTCCGTGGATGCTGAAGCTCTGCACATCAACGGATGGCCCTATGAAGAGGTAAGCTGCCCTGGTGATGGGACTTCGGAGGTGCATGGTGACATTCACATAGTTTGTCCCATTGTAGGGATAGCCCCGAGGGTATGTCACTGAGGCAAAGGTTGCTTTCTCGCTGTAGCCAGTATCATCCATCCAGTACATTTTGTAGAGCCCATCTCGCTGCCTGATGAAAGCCCCATGGACACCATCTACCACTGTCTCCTCAAAAGGAACATCCACGTTGTGGAAGAAGCTTGCTGCTGTTTCGAGGGTGCTCTTCTCTCCCAGATGTATTTGGTCCACAAGGAGAAGAAGCTGTGGATGTAGGAGAATCAGATTCCTCTGAACTTTCCTAAGATTCAGCTGGGGGTTATAAGCACCCACACCTTCTCCTCGGATGAAAACCACCCCATTTTTCTCCACTGCTGCAACCACTTTCCCCTGACAGCTGGCTGCCAGGTCATGCTTGTATTTAGACCATTTTGATGAGCAGTCTTCTGTGACCTGACCCTCCCAGGGAGAAAAGCAGCTCTTGGACACAGCTGGGGAAAACATCAAAACATTGTTGAAGAAAGTGTACTTGGGCCCATAGAGGGCCTCAGTAATAAAAGGCACACCATTGGGAGCAAAAGTAAATGAGTTTTGATCAGGATGTTCATGCCCTGCATTAAAATTTCTCCATCCTCTGATCCAATCTTTGTACTTGTTTCTGTGGACAATGTCATATATTGCACGTCCCCCAAGTTTTCCTGACTTGAAGGAAAGGAAAGATCTATTGATTTCTGCAGGCAGCGCACTTCCGTAAGTTACGACACCCCAGTCTTCAAAATAATGCAGTGTAGGGATGCCAAAATCTGGAGGAGGAACCGATTTCAAGCTGGCATCATACCTGAAATTAATTTTAAAAAATTAAATGGCTTTCTGATTGAAGTGAAAATAACACACAAGAACTGTGATGCCACATGGTAACATGTCTGGAAGAATCAACACACGCAAATGCTACTCAGAAGACTGGCAGTGTGGAGTGTGTTAAGGACATTTCTGAAAACACCCATGGACAATCAGCATGCACAAGGGGAAACCACTGGTGATTGGGAGAGGAGCATTTCTTTGTAATTTGTGATCCTTGGACTTGGGCCTGAAATTTCTATTGCTAATCTCTACATGGACCTTCTTCACTTGATGATTTCAGAGCGGCCACCCAAACTACTGGGGCTCATAGCATAGATCTAAGCACTTCAGCCCAATTTCTACTTCAGGGGGCTCCTGTTTTAGGAAACCCCATGTTAGGATCTGGACTCTAACAACCCTTGAGTTGTAATAAAGCACTGGTCTGCAGTAACTCATATTATTGAATGTTTGGCTTTGAAATCAGTTCTTCCTCCACATTTCTTTTCCTCTAGAAAATTACTTGAAATAGAGTAGAACTTCACATATTAGATAAAATTTATTGCCAATACTACATCTAAGAATATTAAGGATGAAATGAAATTCCAGGAAACTATATAATATTGGAAGTTTTATTATTACGGCTACCACTGCCTAATCGGATCCAAAGGTTTTATTTTGTTTTAAATCTGAAGACACCACAAGTGGCCAGTTAGCTCAGTTGGTTAGAGCATGGTGCTAAAATAATCTGAAGATTATGCCATGCTTCTTGGATAATAAATAGCTTCTTATTTCTATTTATGATAAATGTTTATTATTAGCTCTTATATACTTTTCTCTAAAGTAAATAAATCACCTATGGTAGTGTTAATTTTATTGGGTTTTGATTTTGGCTGTTTCATCTGTTATTCTAGAGTCTCAGTTATAAAACATTAGAAATTATGTCTCTACTTAGGTCTAGTATAATGTTGCCTTAATGTGATTTAACAAATATAGATACAAGCTGAATTGGCTATCCTTCTCTCATTTTTTGGCCAATTTGCATATTCCTGTAAAGGCAGGTTATTAACTAAGTTAGACTTAGCATTAATCTGACCTATATATTAATCTGACCTATTATATTAATCCTATAGTTAACTTTATAGAATTCTCTTGGTTGAATATTTATGGGTAACACTACTAAGTAATTACTTTATACTTAAAAGGACTCAGGAATGGTTACATATTAATATATCTAGTTTATCTGTGAAAATAGTTTTTAAAAATGTTAAACTATAATAGTTATCACTTTACTAATATTTTTCCTCCTTAATATTTAAATTTTTTAATAAAAGAATAAAGAGAAGCAAATCATAAGAAAGTTTATTTTGGAGTTGAATGCAAATTTCAATAGCTTGAAAAGACATCAGGAATTAATGATTATCCAGTTCCCTGTAATTTTTATTTTAACTTATTGGATGCCAGCAATATATTTGGCAATACTTAAAACAGGAGACTCAAGCTTCTCCTGAGCTTAAAAGATTAAGGCAAAAAAAATTACACGGTCCTTTTAGTATCAAAGTGAAGCTGTCAAATACTGTCAAACACTTTTAAAGACTTTCGAAAATTTAGTAACAGCTTTGCTCATAGAAGATTATAATGCTCCATTTACCAAAACAAAACAAAATATTTTGCCACTTTTTTTTGGTGCGATTATCAGAATAACCCAGTCTAAATTTTGTGGTTTTCTCTTTACATGATTTAAAAAATGATGTAAAATCAAAACATATTTATCCATGAAACAGTGTAAGCCTAGGACATCTCTAATATAAGAGAATAAAAAAATCCAAATAGTAATTAGATTTTAAATTTGAAAAGAAATGTTTCTAACAGAGTTTCAAACACTGTGATATGGGTTGAATTGAAGTTGCATGTATTTAAGTGGCATGAAAAAAGGATTTTAAAAGTGTTTGATTAGTTTTTCTTTTCAAATGCAAAAATCTAGGGTACAGAATGAACAGTAAGTTCCCTTGGGTACCGTTTCTCTTTAAAGCCAGCCCAATGCATCATACCAGAGAAATTCCGTGTGCAGAGTGCACCAGCGCTGCCCTTTGGACGGTGTTCCTGGACCTTCCACCACACGGTTCCTTCTGATTTGGTCAGCCAGCCAGTTGCCACTGCCGTTACGCATGACAAATTTATCCAGGAACACTAATTGGCTTTCTGGACCATAAAACCAGTTGTAATTTGAGTCTGCAATAGCCACAGTCCTTTGAAACCCTAGGGAAAGAAGTTTGAAAGAATAAAGATAAGTTTAAAACTTCATACTCGTATCCAGATCTAAACAACGATTTCCAAACCTAGTTGCAAATGAGAATCAATGTGTAATTGATTGGATAAAAATCAACAAAACCACAATATCCACATTCTATCCCAAGCCAGTTAATCAGAGTCTCTCAAAAAGTCTTCCAAAAATCTTGTGTGTAAGTTTGTATTTGTTATGTGGCTACTTGTCATTGGTTACGGAAGTGCTACACCTATTCAAGTGTATGTATATTGCCCACCTTCCTCATTTTCCAATGTCCATCCCATGTTCAATTACATTTGCGTACATACTTGGGGTTCCTGTTGTGCACAAGGAGTTCCTGAACCTGGAATGAGCACTAGCTGTCCCACAACTCAATCAGCATTCTGGGCCAAGATAATAACATCAGGTGCTTCAATTTGGTTTCTAATGTAGTGGAAGTTATAGTCCATATATAGAGAGAGAGTTCAGGAGAGAGACTGAGTTTCTATAGGAAGAAGACTTAATTTCCAGGGAAGCTTCTACCAGTATGTACTGTGGGAAGTTAAAGAAGAGAAAATGCAAAGATCAGAAAGCCAGGTATCATTATTAGAATAGGGGAAAAAAATAATAGTAATGTTAAGACTAGATATGCTCCAGGTTTCTTGAAAAAAGAAGCAGTGTGGGAGAAAATTCTGAGCCAGACAGAGAAAATTGACACTAGAATATCAATTATAGAAATTTTGAAAAAAAATGTAGTTGAAAACAGATTAACTTAACACAGAATCTCTTCTAAAATGCTCCCATGACTGTATTTACACAATTTGTAGCTATTTTTTTTGTTCCTAACAGTTTAGTAAGTAATATTCTAAGTAAACTCTTTTATATAAAATACAGTTTTCTGAATCTTCTACTAGTTTGTGAGCAGAGGATGTGTTGTTTTATTCTTCTTTGAATCCCCTGCCCAGTACAGTGTCTGGCAAAATAGATGTTCAATAAAGTTTTGTTGCATTAACACAGACATATAAATGCTCCTCTTAGAGGTGTTCATGTTGTTTTTTCCAGCTTTGGAAGCAGCCACATACACTGCTCACAGCAGACACAAGGCTGTTAGATCTCAGCTCAAATTACAAAGCACTGAGACCTCTTAAAGGTCCTTTGCTTTAGATAGCCTTTATTTACTAAGATAAACTGCAAAACAGGCCTCTCCTGTATGTCTAAGAACAAGCAATAAAGCAATATGGTTTTCAATGTAAGTCTCAACTAAATTGTAAAATGGTTTTTGTGCTCTGCAATATTTTTTGGATAACTAATAACAATAATGAAGATTCTGTCTAATCCATATATATACTACTAGAGCAAAAAGATTTAAATACTGGATTCTTTGTTGTAGGGCTAGAACCACTATCTAAAAATTGCATTTCCTTGGCTGGGGGAGGGAGGTGGGAATCCATCCTCATCAAAATTTATCTCCTCAACTTTTTCTAACATCTTTTTCCTATTTTAGAAATAAAGTTACAAAACTCTCCTAGAAATGAATAAATTATTAAATCATATACATCTTTGGTTTAAAGGTAGTTTTCTTGGAAAGAAATTAGAAGTTTTATAGAAATTGGTTTTTTGTTTAATTTTCTATATTATATACTATTCATCTCAATAAAATATTTTTTAAAATATTAAAGCTCTAACTAAAACATGTAGGTGTAATTTTTTATTTTGAATCATATCTGTTCAGCCTGGAAGAAAAAATTAAAAACTAAAAACTAAAATATGAATCATTAAGGATCATACATAAAGGAAAACTGACATGTAGTCATAACTGTTTATATTTTGTTTAGATTCATAAAAATGAGTTTAAATATGCATTCAAGTTTGTATGTATACAAAAATAAAAGTACCATGGGGGCTAGAAATTACATTTGCTCCATTATGCTCCAAGCTTTATAGTACCTAAATTACAAATCTTCACATTAGCTCCCCAAATGTTCTGGCTATATATAACTCTTGAATTCAATTTTTCTTTGATTTTTGAAAAATCCCTTTAATTTCAATATGACAAACCCCACAGACCTCATTTACTTTCCTAATCTTGCTCATTTTCATAATCAGAAAAAATTATAATAGTTTAATGTTTTTCACTTCTGACTCCTCACTATACCTGGCAGGATGGTTCTGTACATAAATGCAAAGTGCTGTTTAAGCCACGGATGGCCAAAGTGGTTGATGTCAAAGTGCCTCTGCACGAGAAACATATACTGGAAGAGTGATCTAGTGGTGTAGCTGCCATATGCAACTCCTTCATACAGGGAGCCGTCCGTCACCTCTCGGAGCAAGACCAGAGATTTCTCCATGATGGTGAGAACTTGTTTGGTCCATAAGTAGGCTTCCTGAAGATACCCTGAAGGATGAAAACACATGGAAACAATGACTAAAAGCTGTAACAAAGCATAAACAAAAATATGGCAAAATAAAACCTTCTAAACTATCTGACCAGTTTATATTACAAATTACATTTTGTAAAACTCTCACTGGTCAACAGTGTTATAAATAACATCCTGTTAATCCAGGTTTGTGATGGGTCTGTCATGCAAGTTAGGAAGTTCTTGAATACAGATCATGTACTAAGTGAAGATAAACACTTAAATGAGTATTATTTTCCAATCTTTAATAAAGTGAAACTATATCATATATAAGATCACAAATGCATGTAACTTTATGTTTGCAAGAAAAAATTTGCACATTGAGACGTTTATTCAATTTTCCTAAAAAAAACTACTTGAAAATATTTTTTTGAAGTTTATCACTTTAAAAAACTTGTACCATTGTTTTATAGGATTTAATAATAGGCTACAAATACTGTAAATGCTAAATGAACAGTCTTCAGTTTGAACTGTCATTAGAATAGAACCTCTCTCCTCCTTTATGTGCTTTAAACTTCACAGCATCTGAAAAGACAGCACAGCAGGGCTCAGAAACCACTGGGAAGGCAATCTAATGATGCAAAAATCAATTAGGAGTCCTGAGCCTGCCAAAATGAGCTACAAGATTTTGTCCAAGCACGTCTTTGACCTGTCACAGTTTTCAATCTCCCCACTGAAAATTAAAAGTCTAGAAAATTTTATAAATCCTTTTGACTCAGAAATGCTATCTTTCTAGAATGCTTACATTTAGGTAACAACTCCTCACATTTCTATAACACTTATAATTTACACAGCACTGGACAGAATCTTACTTATTCCTTTTAACAACCCAATTATGCATTATTACCCCCAAATTACAGAAAGGTTGACTTGTTTAAGACCTCTGGCACATGACTAAAAATGAACAGAATTTTGATACAAACCTAGGTCTTCAGATTTAAGGTTTAGCTTGTTTCGTTTGCTTGTTTTTAAAACACACAATCCCTGCAGATAAAATTAAGCTTACTGCTTCCTAGTGTGGCTAAAGTCATATTGCTTTATTCTCACAAACATGTGTGAATTATCATCACAGCTGACCCTCTACCATGGCCTACTAGGTGTGCCAGTGTGGGACTTCCAGAGGCCCAGGTCCCACCAGTTCTGAGTCTAAATTCAGGTCTCAGGCTATGACATGAGTCCCATGTCATGAGTCAGCATGGCTTTTTCAGGCTTGGCTATGCAGAGGTGACTGCTAATTGTACTCCAGCTCCTTCTGTCACCCAGCATCCCTGACATGCCATTCTTGTGGATTTCAATTTCCATTCTCTATCATTCGGGTTTAAAAATCCAATCACCTTCATCTCTTTTCTCTCTGTGTCCTCCAGCTCCAACCAGATACCAATGTGAGCAATGTCTAAAATCAGACCACTGTTTCCTGGATATCACCTTACCTGATTTTCTTTATTTGTTCCTTATAACAATCTCTTTAGGAGATATGTGGCAATGTCTACTAAAACACTTTGTAAACTGCAAACCTTTGTCAATGCTAGGTCTTGATATTGTAGTTAATTGAAGCAATGCCCTGTATTTTCCCAGCATTCGTATTCCTTGCCTGGAATGTTCTTTAGTATCCTCACTTATCTAAGTCCTACCCATGCTGCAAAGTTCCTTGAACCTTCCTAAATTCACAGAAAGAACACTGTTCTCTTTAATTCAAACTTAATACACTCATTTGATATTTAACCATAAGGCTCTTCATGACATTTTTCATTCCACTCTCCAGTATTATTATAACTATTGTGCAACCATTTAAACATTTCACACCTGTCTTCTTTCCAACCCCCTTGCATGTGGTCCTTGTAGTCCTGGTACGTCCAACCAGTTAGTAGAACAGAGGAAAAACCCTAATTCTCCCACTTTTGAAAATTTTCATGAGCCCAATAAGAGCTACATGTGGGCTCTAAGCTTCCTCAGTCAGTATGCACAGTGCTGGCCTAGAGGACGTGGGAGTATTCAAATTCAGGCCAAGTTCCTAAAAGTCAAAGAGTGTGCCAAGAAAACTGGAACTATTAGTCTGATTATTAACTGAGATCTGCAGGACCCGAGACTTCACCCCTCCTTCTGTCCAGTCTTCTCTTAAATGTGTGCACTGCTTATGTAGGAGCTCCAGAAGACTGTATATAAGAGCCACCATAACTTCACTTAGAAAATAAATGCACAGGAAAACTCCTGCCAGAGGAGTATAAGATATTTTGACCCAATTCAAACCAGTATGTCAGAGGTGTCTGTCTATTTGGAATGATGTTATCTATGATGAAGAATAAAAAACAAATTCTATTCCTGCTCTTAAAGAACTAAAAACTTATTTAAGGAAATTCAACTATAATAGACTAAACTCCAAGATGCCAAGCTGAGATCTGGCTTACTCCAGGGTTCTTCTCACCGTTTCATGATGATGTCTTTTTATGGGCCTTGGGGTTCATAAATGGTTTGAAAGTGCGTTCTTATATTTTCACATTTTGATGCGAAAGAGCAGCGGGCAAGAGCAGCTAGGATGAAAATTTACTCTGCTAATTAAGCTTTCATTAAATTATTATAAATTGGATTGCTATTGTGAGAGAGGCAACAAAATAAAGTGGAAAGAGATTGAACTTTGAGTTTGGCCAGAACTGGGTCCAAATCCCAGCTACCTTACATGGTTGATGTGAGAATTAAATAAAATATGGAAAAGGACTAGCACATGTCATGTGTTCAATTAATGTTAAGTTTCTTTTCCTCTAAGACCTAACTAAAAGTTATGGTTGATGTGACCAGGGAAAAAGCTAGATTTGGGTAAAACCTGATGTTGGGTAATTGATGAAATGCTTATTAATTCTTATGGGAGATATAACCAAGAGTTAAATTTTGTTATATTTCCTAGCTCCAATTGTATATTTAATATATAGATTTCCATAGGAGTTGTAATCAAGTTAGAGTTACAAGAACAAAAAAAGTAATATTGGCAATTATGTAATACATTAAAGTAGCTATATAACCTATAAAAATGGCTTCCAATTTTGATGTAAATAATCTAGATTGTTTGTTCTAAATATTTATGGAAAAAAAGAATAGTGGTGCTATGATTCACACCCATGTGCTAGGAATATTCATTTCAAGTAACAAACCACCTGTTCAGCTTTTAAGAACTCCACTTATTCCAGGCTGGCTGTCTTCACTGTCAAAATTCTCTGGAAAACTCAATATTCATCACTGACCCTGTACTATGAGGATATGGCCTGGAACAATCTAAGCCATAATTAGATAACCTGCAGGCTAATATACTAGCAGAAATTAAGGAAGAGAGATCCCTCAATTAACTAAGAGATGCCATAGGTATTACTTCATCTCATGGCCTTAGTTAGGATCCAAGTATGAACATGTACCTAAGAACAGTTGCAGAAACACTTTGCTCAAAACAAGGCAGCTCTGACTGGCGTCAGCTCAGACGTCATCTTGGCTGTACACACACTTACCTTGATTCATCAGCACGATGCTTCCCGTGAGCAAAGCCATGCAGTTGGTGGGCTGATGGTTGTGCAGGTATTGAAATCCCCATCCTCTCCTGTAGGACGTTTCATACATATACCCCGAGGCATTGGCAATCACTTCAAGAAACTTCTCCTGTTGTGTCTTGCTCAGGTAGTTGTACAAGAAGTCATAAGCAGTGGCAAAGCCAACCAGGGAGTGAGCCAGCGGGACTTCATCCCAAGGAGCATCTTTCACCAACCTGTAAAGGCGAACAAACCATGGAAATGAGTTCATCAAGGCTCACTGCCTTCATCGCACTTCTTAAATGTCTATTTCTCAGAACTAAAGGGAACTATTGAGGATATAATCTAAGAGGTATAATGACACCAAATCAACTTCCCTCTAAGCAAGACAAAAGCATAAAGTTTGTCTCATGCGAAAATTACAGAGTTGTTCTCTTCCCAAGCTTCTGGCAACATCGAGATTTTGAGAATTTTTATTTTTGATTTTTTATTCATGATGAAAGGGAGTCGAATATATTCAAAGAGATCTAAGGCACAGAACAAGCAGTGCAGGGTACAAAAAAACTCTCAAGTACCTATTCAACCAGGGCTCACCCTTTCCTTTTCACTTGCATACAAGGTTCTCAGGTCTACTCTTACGTTCGCCTTACTGAGACAGTTGAGCATGTATATTACATCTTATTTCCCATAGCTGGTCAATATGAAGGTATAGTGGTCTACAGTCCATGACCTCTCAAGCTGGACAGACCTACTTGGTCAACACCATGGTGAGAAGAGTGGCTGAAAGGCTGATGTGACTGGGAGCTGATTCTAACTCTGGATTTCTACATTTCGTCCTTTCCCCTAAAATGAACTGCACTGCCTTTAAGGTCCTTTGAGTATCTTTCCGAGGAGTCCAAAAGTTGATCTTCTGTGACGTATCACATTGCCATTTTCTAGGAAGCCAAATTTCTGTTTGACATTATTCCGCAAATATTTTAATAGTATGTGGCCTGCATTAAACAGGAAGCAAAAAAGGATCTTTCAGGATCAGAACTCAACAGAATTATACAGAAAACCCTTCCCATTGTTCAGTATATATCTGAGTAATCTCTAAGAGACGGAAACAAATGAAGAGAGTGCTGTACCTGTGGGAGGTGGAAGAAAGCCCTCAATTAGAGATTAAGCTAAAGCCTAACGTTTCTATGCCATGAATCTCCTTTGGCAATCTAGTGAAGCCTTAGCTTGTTTTTGAAATGCTTTAAAATTCATAAGACATAATATGTAAGAATACAAGGAAATCCATTATTTTGAAATATAATTAATATATATTTTTTTATAAAATAATAATACAGGTGCTTCTTTATTAAGGCATTAAATACCAACATTTAACAGCAGGGATAGTAAACACCATAATTAATAAGTAGTGATAAGCATAAATTTTGAAATGTCTATAACTGTAATGTGATAGGAAAATATCTGTGATATTTATCTATAACCCAGGCACAGATTCTCCCAATGCTATGACAGTTGGTTATCTCTATTCGTAAGTGGAAGCAATGCGAGATTTCAGTTAAAGTTGGTAAAAGTTAAGAAGCAGTGTTTCCTGCAAATAAACCCCACAGACCTCAGTTGAAAAATATTTAAAAACGTCCTGAGAAACAGGACCCACACCTTTCACCTCTCACAAAAATCAACTCGCGCTGGATAACAGACTTGAACATTAGGTGTGAAACTATTAGAATTCTAGAGGAAAACGTAGGAAATACTCTTCTAGACATTGACCTAGGCAAAGAATTTATGAAGAAGACCCCAAAGGCAATCACAGCAGCAACAAAAATAAATAAATGGGACCTGATCAAATTAAAAAGCTTCTGCACAGCCAAAGAAACTGTCAAGAGAGCAAACAGACAACCCACAGAATGGGAGAAAATTTTCGCAAGCTACACATCCGATAAAGGGCTGGTAACTAGAATCTATTTAGAACTCAGGAAAATCAGCAAGGAAAAATCAAACAACCCTATCAAAAAGTGGGCAAAGGACATGAACAGAAACTCCTCAAAAGAAGACAGAATAATGCCCAACAAACATATGAAAAAATGTTCAACATCTCTAATCATCTGGGAAATGCAAATTAAAACCACAATGAGATATCACTTAACTCCAGTGAGAATGGCCTTTATCAAAAAGTCCCCAAACAATAAATGTTGGTGTGGATGCAGAGAGATAGGAACACTCCCACATTGCTAGTGGGACTGCAAACTAGTTCAGCCTCTGTGGAAAGCAATATGGAGATACCTTAAAGCGATACAAGTAGATCTACCATTTGATCCAGCAATTCCACTACTGGGCATCTACCCAAAAGATCAAAAGTCACTTTATGAAAAAGACACCTGCACTTGAATGTTTATAGCAGCACAATTCACAATTGCAAAGATGTGGAAACAACCCAAGTGTCCATCAATTTATGAGTGGATTAATGAAATGTGGTATATGTATACCATGGAGTACTATTCAGCTTTAAGAAACAATGGTGATATAGCACCTCTTGTATTTTCCTGGATAGAGCTGGAACCCATTCTACTAAGTGAAGTATCTCAAGAATGCAAAAACAAGCACCACATGTACTCACCAGCAAATTGGTATTAATGGATCAACACCTAAGTGGACATATAGGAAAAACATTTATTGTTTTTCCCCAGCGGGTGGGAGGGGATGGGTATATACAAACATAATGAGTGAGATGTGCAGTGTTTGGGGGACGGTCACGCTTGAAGCTCTGACTCAAGGGGGGAGGGGTCATGGGCAATATATGTAGCCTTAACATTTGTACCTCCATAATATGTTGAAATAAAAAAATTAAAAAAATGTTCTGAGATACTACCTCTTTGAGAATATCTTCTTCCTTTAGAAGTTTATGCTAAAGAAGTGATTTTGGTGAGGTCTTCCCTGGTCACTTTGTCAGAATTTCATCATCCCCATCCCTAACTAACAATATTTGATTCCCCTTCCCTTTTTTTTTTTAGTCCCCCTAAGCAAGTGTGTGTGTGTGTGTGTGTGTGTGTGTGTGTGTGTGTGTGTGTGTATCCTCTACTAGAATTTAGGTTCTGCAAGGGTAGGCAAGGGTACGGTTTTTTTTTCTCTGTTGTATTCACAACTGGATCCTCAATCATAGAACAGTATGTGGCACATAGTACAATCTTAATATAGATTTTTGGAAAGAAAGAAAAAGTGAAGGAACAAACCTATAATTTATTGTCAGCCACACTGTTGACAATGATAGCGTGATCATTATGAAGACAGGAACTTGGAGGGATGGAGAGATCCCTTTGTATTTAGCAAAAATTTCAGTGATTGGTTAGCTGTACTTGTGATACAGCCTGGTGCTAAAAAGACTAACACTGATGAGTTTCTTTACCATTTGGTCACAGACAAAGTTGCCTTGCTCTAGCCAGTCAGCTTTCCAGTGTGTGTCCAGTGTCTGTCAAGACTATGAGAGTATGGATTAATTCCCTCCTTCTGGGAAAAAAACAACTGCTACTGCATGCTCACCGCCAGGGAGTTGAGAACACTCTCTTCACTGACTCCTGGTGTTTGGTGAGCCAGGCAAAGAAGCCAAGCCATTTGTTTCTCAGCCCTGTATCATCGTACCATGTCATGATGCATCTATAAATGACAGCATGAATACCTAGCCATGATAAAGCTAGGTGTACCTGACATCAATGAACTGCTACCATCTACCAAACCCTCACAAGTATGATTAGCCAATGATCTTATTGTTAGAGATAATAAAACATTTTATATAATTATCACCCTTTGTGAAATCGTTATGCAAATTTCTGTGAAAATTTCCAAGCCCCAGCATATAATTTGCTCATTTCAAGTAGTTTCCAATTCAACAAAACACTAGCACATTAATTTAAAAAGTTTATGGTAGCTTCACATTCATCCCTATGTCATTATGAATAGCTGTAGTTCTAAAAGGTTATCGATACTCTTTACCAATATAGTCTTACCCAGCCTCAGATGTAAGGTGCAATTATGAAAGAAGCTATATTTTACAGTCATAGAAACCAAAGGAAATTTGCTCCTAGCTCATGGATGACAGCTGAAAACTATCGTATTCAATGTGCTCCTAACCAATGGTTAATCAATTCACTGGAAAAGCTGGTTAAGTGAGAAATCATAAAAAAATACAGATATTAATTTATGAATTTTGTTTCAATTTAAAATATATCCACATGTATAAACAATCACCACTCTTTTGAAGGTGACTCAAAGCCTATTCTTTGAAATGGGTCTACAAATGGAGTTTCATGTTCTTTCCTGCAAAGAACACACATAACACATCATCATAATTTCCAGCTTTAGTTTCTTTGTAATACAGAAAGAAATTAAAGATACTTGAGAAAGGAACGCAGAATCCTTCCAAATTTTTATCAGTCTTTCACTAATCTTTTACAAATCTCATCTACACTAAATCACAAGTAATTTTTTTTACAGTAAGTAATTCCAAAGCATTTAAGTTGGTTTTTAGAAACATTAATCTTTTTTTTGAACTCACAGTTCATCTATTTACACAACATTATTAAAATTTTGTAATTATAGGTATTAGTGGAACTGGCATTAACTGATTTGAGAACAAATACAGCTCATACTTGCTAAGCACAGAATTCTACTGGTGAGTAGAACAGGATGGAAATGGATGGCCACAGAAGAGGGCAGCCCATCAGCCTTGAGATCCAGCATTCCATGCGAGTAGCCACCATGTTAAACAAAGAATGGAGGTTAATTACATTGGCAAGTATTAAGAGTAGGTTAGTTAAGAAAATTTGCACTATATTCCTCTTTTGTAAGTAAGCTATGCTTGCTCCCTTTAGAGCAACTGTTCTCAAAAGTAAGGTCCATGGGTCTCTGGCATTTCTAAGGCATGTTCAGGGAATCCACAAGTAAAAGTTATTTTCATCATAATATAAAGATGTTATATGTTAATATTTGCACCGATGGTACAAAAACAATAGTGGGTAAAAATGCTGGTGTCTTAGCAAGAATCCAAGCAGGGACACTAAACTGCCCCAGTAGTCCTCGCATGATTTTGTACTGCCATGCACTCACAATTTAAACAAAAAGCCAGCTTTACTTAAGAATGTCCTTGATAAAGTGGCAAGAATGAATAACATTTTAAAAATCTCAATCTTTTGAATATACGTCTTTTTAACATCCTGTGTGATGAAACGGGAAATACGTAAAAAGTAGA